TATATATATATATATATATATATATATATATATCTTAACTGACCAGATTACTAAATACTAGGTAAAACTTCAATTTTAATTTGAAAGTAGCACAAAAAATACTTGAAGAAAGTTTTGACCAAGGAAGAATGTGCACATCAATACTAGTAGAATACATGTATTAAACTATCTTTTGGAAAATACTAACGAGGATATTTTACAAAACAAAACAAAATTCTTAACACATGAAACACATAAATTGTAAGAGACTTGACAGAGTAAATTAAAAGAGGTTGATTTATAATCAATAGGCAGATGGGTAATTTGCTCTAGAGCTGTCTTGGTTCTTCTCTTCTTGATGTTTCCTTCTACATCATTGATCCTTCCTATACCAGTTTCAATCTGGGGAAGTACTTTCTCTTCAGCAGTCCATCAATCATATTGGAGTTGGTTACACTGGAAAAGCATCCAAAAGCTTGCTTTCTTGTGATTTTCTGCACAATATTCAGAGTCAAATTAGTAGAAGTTGGTTTCAAATATACTTCTGTGCAAGATCATAACCATATAGCAATGAATAAACCATCAATTTTATTCTTCAAGTATTATTCCGTCTCCTAAATAATCCTCAAAGTAAAACAAATTAAGTAGTCCTAAAAATCGTAATTGATTCTTCAGTCAGTAAAATACTCTTCAAATCGATTCCTAAACATTACTAAAATACATCAACTGAAGAATTAATGTTATGAATATCCAATACTTTAATTAGTTATTTTTTTTATTACTTTAAGGACCACTTAAATGATAGAGTAATAGTTTCAGCATGAAATTAATAGTAATTTATTCAACAATTCATCCTGATTGGAAAGGGAATCAAATCTAGACACGGATTCCATATGATATTATTATAGATGTTCAAAGAATTACCAACTTTCCTTTCTTAAAGAGAGTTCAAAATCTTGTAGCCATGCAAATTCAGATAGTAAAAGGAAAACAAAGATGGTGGTATTGGATGTTATAATATTATTACCTGGGGTGGATCCCATTTTTTCATTAGAACTGCTTTCCTTCTGCAGCTTCTTCTTCTGCTCATCATAATCAGTTCTCCAAGTGTTGGTGGCCTCGTCACCAGGTCACTGCCACAATCTCCATCGTGTTCAAAGTCTTCGGCTCTTAGTTCTTGCGAACTTGAAGTAAACTTTTCCATGTGCTCATCATCCCTTTGAAGGAAGCCAGACTTAGGTGGATACAAAGGAAATAGGCACTCAAGGAAAGTAGCACCAACAGGACTTGACCTGCCAGTTGCATAGCTGCTTGTGCTACTCTCTGCCTCTGATGTTTCATCTGCATCAAAGCTAAATGCTTCAAGGTCTAAGCTGGTTTTGCTTCCTTTGTCTTTTGCATCGTCATGGCCAAAGTTGCATGGAAAAGAAAAGCCCGAAGATGATGCTACATGAATAAGCATTTTCTCTGGCTTTGGAGGCACTGAAACATGTGAGACATTTGGAAGGGGTATTCCAGGCTTTTCCTCCCAAACAAAGGGAATTGAGGCAATAAGTTTAAGTGGAGTTTTAGGGAAGTGGCCAAGTGAAGGGACCTCAGGCTTCCAATCTTTCTTAGGAGTGCCTGGCTTTACTTCCCATATAAAAGGAACTGAAGGTGGTTCCCTAATAACATGTTTCTTCTTCTTTTCTGTTTCATTCATTTTTCATTGCCTTGGTGCATTTGCCTCAATCGTGTCCATTTTATAGTAGTTGTGACCCTGAATAGGAGTGGTTTAGTACCAACTTTTGTTTTGGCTTTCAAAGAGATTAGGCATACCTGCCCCCCATTCCCACTTCGTCCACAACCTTCTTACTACGGGCCAAGTTGACTTGGAATATTGCTTGCCAAACTTTGTGGTGATAATGAAAATATTTCGTCATTGTACTTCCATTCTATCTGTTGACTTTCATTAAATTTGTGAATGTTACAAGTGGTTAAGACCTTACTTAATCTAATACTATCTCATTTCAATTTGTAGACAAACTTTATTTGATTTTTTGCTCCCCCCCATACCTTGGAAGGTTTATCCATGCACTTCACATTTGCCTAGTGTTCGCTCTTAGAAATTCAGCCCCTTCCCCCTTCGTAACAATCTCACAAGTCTCTTTGTTGATTCTCAATTATTATTCCATCATAATATCATAAATAAGTATTAAAAACAATACATTAAGTTTAGGGATAATTAGGCACAAACTGATATGTTCCTACATACAATTAACTAATCATATGAACATTTTTTTTTTAATAAAAAATATCAACATTGTTCTTAAACAACTTGAAATCGAATCTTTACACAATGTTATAAATACGAAAATATGGAGAATGTTGGTTTCTATTGTCAATAAGTTAGGCTATGATCTTAAAAAAATGGATTCGGTACATTTTCAAGTTGATTGGTTTGTACTTTCATTTGGCTTGAATTGGTCTAATGTCACATAATATTTTAAATTTTATAAATCTATCAAATTAGTGATCAAATTAATTTTTAATACCGTTAACATAATATAAAAATAATTTTGTATTAATAGATTCTGTTTTGGAATACATATTTAAGGCATCTCTTATTTTTTTTTGTTACACATTTAGACTTTTCTCTACATTTTGTTTCCGAATCCTTCTAACGAGTATATGTAGGGATATTGATTAAAGATATAATAAATAATTTTTTTTATTGAGATTTGTGATAGAAATGCATTAGTAACATTAAATATTATATTTCTTTAAAGAAAATTTCTTTTAATTTCTTAATTAGAGTCACAATTTTGGTCGAGTTAATAGTTATCATTTAATATATCATGTTAAGTTTTCCAAAGTCAAGTTAAAACATGGACGTAAAGAATATATTTTAATCCAATTGAACTTGAGATTTTGTCGAAATAACTATAAATACAGAAACCAACGTGATTTAAATAGTTTATAAATAATTGAGTTCTTTAAACATGTTATCAACAATTTGTTTTAAAATTACATGTATAAAAAAAAAACTTTTATTTGAAAAGGTAAAATTTATTTCAGCAATCTCTACATCTAGAAAGTAATTAATCTCCAATTGTTGATCGGGTAATATCCTTGATAAAAAATATATATAAATACAAAAAAATAATATATGCTTTTTTTTTTAAGAGAATACCAAGTTTTTCAGCGAAAAGAGAGAATATATTGGGCTAGTAGACTAGTAATGGTGGCCTGAAAGGCTGAAACACATGTTTCTTTCCGCTGTGTTAAATTGTTACATATTTTTATTTTTGTTAAATAATACAACAAAAAATTTAATACAGAAAATGTTGTATTATTATATTTTTTGGAAAAAAAATTAACAAGTCCAAAACTCTTTTTTTGTTTTGTTTTTTTTTTTTTCTGTGTGTGTGCGCGCGAATAGCAAAGCCTGTGTAAGCAAATTACTCACTGGACTTAGGTTTGTCGCTCTTCGGTTGGGCTTTTGTGGAGCCCATAATAAACAAAACTGAACACAAAAATTAGCAAAGCGGAAGCTTCAAATCAACAATCGTTCGTTCATAAATCGAATTCATAGAATTGGATCTGTCTCTGATTCAAAGTCGAGCCGAGGAGGGTCGTATAGCACTTCTAACCCCACCAAATTTAGTGTTTGAAACTGCGTGCCACTGTTATTGTTGTTCTTGCAGTACCAATTCCATGGCCTCTAAAAACGAATGCGAGAATTCAACCGATAATTCTCCATCATCGTAAGCAAATTTCCCCCCCTTTTTCCCCTTCATCTTTTTGCTTGCTTCATGCCGCATTATTATACCTCAATATGGTTTGTGGTAACCTAAATTTTTTTTTTTTTTTTCTGCTTGGTTGAAGCGCACATCCTTTTTTAAGGGCTTTACTAAAATAAAAAAAAAGTGATTTTGGGTTGAGTGGGATATAGTCAGCTAATAAGGGCTAGTGGTTGCTGCATTTTCTTCAGGCCAAAGAACATATACAAAGATCCAGATGATGGGCGGCAACGGTTTTTGCTTGAACTGGAGTTTGTTCAGTGCCTTGCCAATCCTACCTACATCCACTGTATGATTTTCACTTTATCTGTATACTTTGAGTTTGAGCTTCATTAAACAGTAGCTGTATCTGTTGACAGTTGCGTTGTGTATTTGAAATCTTGAGAACTGAGGATTTTGTATAATAAATAGTAAACTGCAATATAATAAAGTGTTTTAGTATGTTAGTACTAAATAAGATTAAACTGCATAAATGATCAAATTATATATAATTTCATAAAAACATATGTTCCTAAAGTGAAAATATTTCAAAAAAGGATTGATTTCTGTAAATCATTAATCATTTGAGTCATAGTATAATACTAACACTATGGGGGTCAACAGGAACAAAAATTACATTTGATTTCAAACTTGCTAACTCGCTTCTTAATTCAAGGGTTTATTAGAGTTTACGGGAGTTCTATGTTTATCTAGAAAATAGTTTGATATAGAGTTAACTCGATTCCTCTACTTAGAATTAACTTGAGAGTTTGACAACCTTGATCCTGGTTGCAAACCCAATAAACCTCTGACAGAAATTTTCAGGAATTTGACAGCTTGCTCCATTAATATTTTCTTTTTTCTTTGTTGTTTTTTGTTTTGCCTTTGAGGAGGATTCCTTATCCAGTTATCCTCCAAACTCTTTGTAGTTTCTTCTCTGTCTTATTGAAATTTCTTTGTTATAGTTTTTTGAAAAGTGACATGCTTTGTCATTTGAATGTGTGTGTCTCTGAGTTACTTTGTGTGTGTGTGTATATATATATTTGTTTTTATCTTATTCTTATATTTGTTACTCTTTTGAACAGATTTGGCACAGAATCGATATTTTGAGGACGAAGCATTCATTGGATACTTGAAGTATCTTCAATATTGGCAACGTCCTGAATATATAAAATTTATTATGTAAGCATTATCTTCAATTTAGGGATATATAAATACAATTCTACACTAGCACTGAGTTTTTTTTCTTTTCCAATTAGGGTAAAAGGTTTAAAAAAATTTAGACGAGGTGACTAGGAATATGAACCGGTTCTGGCATCTTCTACTTATTTTCTGCCCGCATTTGATGTTTTCCTTTACTCTAGCTGGGTTTCTATCCTGATTTAGTCATTTTCTATGAATGCTAGGTATCCTCACTGCCTGTATTTTCTTGAGCTGCTTCAGAATGCAAATTTCCGCAACGCAATGGCACATCCTACCAATAAGGTAAATGGCGTTATCGTTTTTCCCTCCTATAAAATCATGCTTTCTCCTGGGCTTCATCTGAGATTACTCCTGTCTGAAGTTACACTTATGTCATTCTCTGTTTCTTTTAAAATAGATTCTCCTTTAATATCATCATATAAATTTTGTGTGTAATTGTATGAATTGAGACAAGGGCAGAGGTGGTGAGCCTTTGAGTTGTACTACTCAACTTGGACAATGTCTTTGTAGTTGAATCTTGTGTCTTCTGTTGTATTTGTGATATTGTGAGCTGATATAATTATCGATATGAATAGGTTTAAATGCACCCCGTATACATATCATATGTCACAAATAGGTTATCTGTCTAGTTGGTCAATTTCATGAATAGTTGTATCTAATGGATTGTTGAAATACAATTTATCTCTGTATTTTAGGAACTGGCACATAGACAACAATTCTACTTCTGGAAGAACTATAGGAACAATCGGCTAAAACATATTTTACCAAGATCACTTCCTGAACCTAGTGCCACACCTGCACTTCCTGCTCCTGCTTCAACTCCGGCTCAGGCACCTGTGTCTGCACTACCACCAGTACCTGCAACAAGTGTTGCTGTGACAGCAACACCTACTCAAGCTCCTTCTCCCATGCCTTATGGTTTGCCAAAAAATGACATGAGGAATCCTACTATTGATAATAGAAGGAAGAGAAAGTGAGTGTGCAATGCAATATGTAAATTGATAACAAAAACAATGTAATGTGGTTCAATCAGGCAATCAATTTTCTTATTCCTTCTTAGTTAAGAGATTTAAGTGCTGATAATGATAGATTTTTTTTTATGCAAATTATATTTATGACTGTCTTCTACTCTCGTTGTAGATTTTGATTGGCCAGATCATAGCCAGTGTACCTAATTTGTAAGCTTGGGATCATCTCAATGAGAAAGGAATTTGTTACCCATCTCATTGCTTTCATATATGAGTTTGATGATTGAGATTGTGATATCATATCCATCCAAGTACAACAAATTGTCAAGTTAAAATCTAAACTACTTTTTCATTACCATTATAATTTGAGGAAAATTTTACCACTGCCTACCTTGGATCCTCGTTGCCAAATGGCCACCCCTTGCATGTTGCATTAGGGTATCTTAAGCACTAATGAGATATCTTTATTCTATTACTGAGCCCTATCCTGTAGTATTTCCTTTGTCATTGGGTATCATGTTCATTGCAGTGGCGTGAGCATCTTCCCTAGTAGAACTTATTTTTTATTCTTATTCTATTTTTTTGTGAGTCTATCAATTTTACTTAAGATTTAAGAACTTTATCTACTTTTACGTGAATAAAAACCGAATTTGAGTTCTTGTTGGAGATGACCAATCTTCATATATACGTTTATATTTTGTATCTACATGTTTAGCAAAAATTATTTGTTAAATTGAGCGTGAATTGCAAAGTTAAGGCAAATGCAAGAAAGGTGTTGCTTTTTTTTTTTTTTCATAACGTTGGCTTAGAACGCTAACTTCAACTAAAATGAATTTTCTAACTAAAATCTAAATACACACATGGTTGCCAAATAATAAACGAGAACAGTGTTTACAAAATAACACTTCGGTGTGCTTGTACATTATTTGTTCTACTGGACCCTGATTAACTTGTAACATGCAGAGTTTTTCACGAGTATTAATACACTATCTTTTTTATGCACGAGTATTGATACACTATACTGTTCAAGTTCATAAGTTGATTTTATTGATTTATGTACACATAACTTTTTCTCTTTCCCCATTCTTGTTATCGTTGTAACTACTGTGTCAATTTGATGCATTTTACCCCTCACAAATCCTCACCATGTTTTCCACCTTTCTTCCCAATCATGCACAAAGTACTTGACCATGTCCATTTTAATCCCCGTGTCGAAGAGAAGCTACTACTTATAACTTCTAAATACCTTTTATTATTAGACATGGTTTTGAGGATTAACGCACCTATAAAACATATGTCCAAGTCCAAACCCACATAATGAGATTTTGATAGCCCAAAAAATAAAAAACCAAATCAGCACAAATTGGAATAATGTGATTATAAGTGACGCATAATATTTCTCGTTTACAATTTTGGTAATGATACTGGACTAGCTATTATGCGAGAACCTTATGAGTAATGTTGTCAATTTTAAGGCTAAATCGAGTTCTAAATAGAGTTAATAGGTGTTCAAGCCAAAAACAATAACGAAAGAAAGTGTGAAACCAAATCCATAGCACAACCACATTATATTACAGAGTGCTGGCATGCACAAGTGCACCATAAGTGCAAGAGGCAACAGTAAAAGCCATACATACAGAGAGGCGATGTGTCTGTGTGCCTGTGCCTCCCCAAAGTGTTCATTATTATTAGAGATTGGGCCACAGGATCCTTCTGGAATATGGGTCTTAACAAGAGAATACATAAGCTTAAGGTTTCTCCCAATCATGAAATATACATTATAATATAATACACCACTAAGCTGGAACAGCTTCCGGCACTTTGCCGTTGCTTGATGGTACCAAGCTATCATAATATTCAACCAGAACCTTCCAGCCACCAGGGCACATAAATCCATCAGGAGGACTTTCTTTGTTCCTTGCAAGTGTGCGCATCTGTAAATGCAAGTAACCTTTGTTAACATACCACAAATATGCAACAATATAGTCACTATTATCATAGTGAACACCAAAACATACCTTTGTGCCTGATATGAAGAGGAAATCTTGAGGCCTTGAAGGGTCAAAGAATGCCATTTTACCCCGAGTCTTGTCATATGCAGCAACCTGCGAATGAATGAAAATGATCAACACATATATCAAAGAGGCCTAAGTGAACTTCGCTCACTGTATTAGTGAGAAGGCAAATTTTCAATTACCCTGAAAGGAAGAATGTTTAGACGCTCTAGTCCTGGTGCCATGCTCAATACTTTCTTCCCATGATCAGCATCATATAAATCTCTTTTCTCAACTGGATGGCTCATGCCTGCAGGATCACGACCAACAATGTAGAAGTTGGCCCCTGCATTAATCCTAGCCTTTGCATGCCACTGCACCTCCGTAGGTCCAGCATAGTGCATGGGAGAAGGGAATATGGATACCACAGTTGTCTCTGGATCAAGAACACCATCCTCAAGTACCTAGAGATAGAACAAATGATATAAATGTTGAAGAAATCAAATTGAAAATAATTTTTTTATTCCCTATAATTTCAAAAAAATTTATTTTAATTTCTCAACATAACTGAGTAAAGTAGTTATGTAATGTCAAATGAGTTAAATGTGACGTATCCACTAATAAGGATACCAAGACGTAAATTTTATGAGACAGATTCAAATTCAAATATGAGACTGAGTATTTGGTTTAGTAGGCATACCTTCTCATGTTGTTTCATTCTCCAATCAAGTGGGACATCATCAGCTTTGGTGTAGCCTCCCAGTGGATGAAGCAAGAGGACAGGATTCTTATAACCCATCTCAAGAAGCCGCTTTCGGGTGTCAGTCATTAGCAAAGCATGGCCATTGTGAACAGGATTCCGGAGCTGGAAGGCAAACACAGCATCTGCATTGCGCCTTGTGAACTCTGCACGTAGTTCTGCCGGTGACAGACGAAAATGATCAAGCCCATCATTGTACTTAATGGGCCCAATGACCTCTAGGTCACCCCCAATCAACCAATTTCCAGCATTGGTTATAGTTTGTTCAACATAAGGTAGCCCAGGGGCAGTGGTTCCCCAAGTTCTGGCTATTCTTTCTTCCTTAGGGTGCTTATATATTTCAATACTGAAATAACCAAAATAGAAGTATAAGCCAAAGAATAAATAAAAAATCACACATACAGATATAGTTGACATGCACAGATGAAGGGTGTCCAATAATTGACACGTAGAAAAGGTGTTCAAAAAATCAACTCAAAGTGTAATAGCAGACCAAAACAAATAATTCAGGGAATGATTATGTTATTGACTCATTCTCTAGTACGTGTAAGACTCCTATTGATCTACAAGATAGAGGTCTAGAGCTTCGTCAAACGATATTATCTCAGGTTGAGTTTCGTATCATCAATGTTAACACTATCTGAATTATGTGCATGTTTGGTCAAGAATGCCTTAATACGGCTCAATATGGATAAGGCACGCAAGCAACCTTCATTTTCCAAGAACCTATACCGACATGCCTTCAAACCTAAGAAGCATGATATGGGGATATTTTTCTTAACAAGAATGTCAAAATATAATCCGTTGCCGTCTTGTGGTGTATCATGGAATGTGGGACCACAAAAAGGTAAAACTCCACAAAACCATATACATATGTCCGTACAAGTGTCAAGTACTATACCATGGAACACTTTTTAGTTACGACCAACTATTTAAATGTTCTAATCCTCGATCTTATATTAAATGTACCAATAAAAGTCACCCAGGTGAAATCAGAACCAAATACATTTCAATAAGATCCGATTAAGATGAATAAAAATTAAAATGGAGACAAATAACGACAGTAGTGGAAACTGCCTCAAATTCCACTACGTCATTGTATGAGTGGTTGGCTATCCAAGCAACCATAACATCACAATTCACAATACAAAATGAAAAGGAATTAATCAAAGAAACAAAAACATGTACGGAAATGCCTAGTCCCTTGGCATATTCCTTCTCAATTTCCACACGTCTACCCCTCCTCTTTTATCTGTACTAAACAAACACAATTGCACATAAAAAACTTCACTTGTCAATAATTGACCATTTGAACGAAACATATTACACCTACATTAATTAATAATACTAATCGGATATTTGTCTTATTTTTAGGCAAAAATTAATTAAAAAATAGAACTTAATACTCATACACTTAATCAATCTAATATGATACTTAATTTAATCAATCAAATATCATTTCAATATCCTTTAGTATCACTTTTAAAATAATTATTAATAGTCATTCACTCAATACAGTACTAAATTAATCAATCAAAAATCATTTCAGTATCATCTTTTATAACTTTTAAAATAACTATTATGAATTACATGATTCACAAACCTACATTAATTAATAATGCTAAATCTTAATTGAGTGTTTGTGTCATAGTTTTTTATGCAAAAATTAAATAGAAAATAAAATTTAATAATCATGCACTAAGTCAATCCGATGTGAGACTGGTTTTGATCAATCCAAAAAATCATTTTAATATCTTTTAAAAAAATTATTAATAGTCGTGCACTCAATTAATCAATAAAAAAATATACTAAATTAACCATTCAAAAATAATTTCAGAATATTTAGTATGAAATTTAAAGTAATTATTATAAAGTCAACAAATTTTCAACAATATCATATATGATAGTGACAACAAGCGATTACAAATTCACATAAGTACAATCTAATTAAATTCTACAAAATCGCTATACACATCATGTACCGTGAATTTTATTAAAAAAAAACCTCTCACAAAATCACAAAAAAAAAAAAAAAAAATCCTCCATTACCCTAATCCCCCTCCTTTTCAATCCACACCAGAAAACAAAGTGCAATATGATCGAAGTTTATGTAAGAATAGACCAAAATTAGTGTGAAAGCAGGTGCAAAAGGATCCAACACATAGAGATTTGACATGAAGAAGAAAAGCAAGAGAGGATTGAAGGGTGTCTTACTCATTGAGAATGGCAACAGGGTCTCCCTTGGAATCGAAAAGAGCAACCCTCTTGGAATCTCCGATGAGATGCTTTTGAGCATCATCGATAGCCAGAACAATAGGCACCGACATGTTAACGAGCGAGCCATCGGCGAGTCGGAGCGAGTTAAAATGAAGCGTTTGGAGGAACTCAGCTTCTCTCATGAAGCCATGAAGGGGTGTGGCCCATCCTTCACTCAGCACGTGGACCCACTCGAGGTCAATCCGAGACAGCTTGATCCTCGGAAGCGACAGAGCCTCTCCCTTCTTCGACTCTCTCTCCGCTTCCCTCACCACAAGCTCCACCAGCTTCCCTCCGTCCGGTTCGATCAACGTGTTCGAAACCCGCACCCCCACGTGCCTCCACTCCCTGCGCTTCGCAAAGACGCTCACTTTCGAGGACGGGGCCAAATGGGTGTTGAACGTTTGCGAGAGAGAGCGAGAGGGGAACGTGGTTTGGGCGAAAAGGGTGGCCATGGACGCCATTCAAGTCTTCTCACTTCACCCTTCTCAGGAATGTGCTTTATAAAACCCAAAAGGAAAAGAAGGAGTTAGTGGAGGAATAGGGGTAAAAGGGTAATTCCACCACGCACCCAATTGCGAACTTGCTCTGATGCTGATCCTAAATAGACAACCTGCGTTGCTCACAACGATACCACTCCTTCACTATTTATATATTTTCACATACTGCTAGTGCTTCCGGAGGATGAACCTGGACACTTCTTTTTTTACTCATCTGGTTTTTATTTTCCAATTTCACTATTAATTAATTCTCACCTTATTTCTGTTTTTAAAGATATTGTTCATTATTTATAACTTTGATATTTTATTTTTATAAAAAAAACTTCGTAACTGCTAAAAACCAGGGACCGAATCAGTTTTTTTTTCAAAATTTTTTTTTATATTTTATAGTGTGCGTGAAGAAAAAATGTTTCATTGGAAAAAATATTTTCGACCGCCAAAAGAGACACATTTGACCAGTTTTGAAGTTTGACCTGAACACGTGGGTCCCTGATTAATTATGATAAGAAATGTTTGGTAATGTTTGCAATAATTATTAGGAAGAGTGAGGGAAGTGGTTTTTTTTCTCTCCTCGTGAACCCTCCTCCTATCTTCGCTTGGGAGAAAGTGGAGAACAACAAACAAATACCAAATTCACCTAATTATAAAATCAATTGGAGTTTGATTTAGAAAAAAAAGTTCGTTAATAATTTTAAATTTCATCATTAGACATAATTAAATTATAAATCACAAAATAAAATAATTTTAAGTATATTTGAGGGTAAAAACAAATAATTAATTTAATATTGCAGGCCAGCTCACTTTACCTTTATTACCATAATAACATTAAACATAAGAAAGGAAATGAATCAAATAAATATGATTTTTTGGGTTTTTAATTTCTATTTTGTTTTAAAAAAATTAGTCTTTTATATTTAAAAAAAATGATTTGAGAAATTAAAACAATTTGGCCAAAACTAGTGGCTGCATGCACCATTAAATTAATTAAAGTGGAAAAGCGATTATTTTGCTAGAAGCACCAAAGCAACATGAGCATCCAATTATAAGGAAAGTCAAAGTGATTGGATTTCACTTGTGATGTTTTCAACTGGCAGGCTACAGAAGATAATGGTCATCAATTTTTGAAAATTGCGAATAATGCATTGCATTGTGATTGTCTATCTAATCACACCCAACATTACGCCTTTTTGAGATCAACGCATTCAACAATAAACTTGAAGAAACTATGGACGTTTCTGTCAATTCACAACAAAAAAATCCTCATTTAAAGTTAAATAAAACAAGTGTGATGCTGCTGCATGCCTCCCTCACTTCTTAATGGACACAAATGAAAAGCACCCAAGCCAAACGAAAATAATTGGCTCAAATTTAGTGGAAGCACCCTCACCCATGCCCTACCTATAAACTTCACACATAATCAATCTTATTTAAATGTAAATGCTTTTACCTAAACCCGTTTTTATTCTAAACTCTAATTAAGGGAATTTTTTTCTAATAATTTTTTAGTACCAGATATTGAAATCAACATAAAATAATTTTTCATAACTTGATTTTGACATTTTTTAAGACCATCAAATTCTACTTTAGTAAATATATCCTTTAATAATTCCATGTAGGGATGACAAAAATACCCGCACCTGCGGATATCTATGGGTAAAATCCGTTACGGATAATAAATGGATAGGCTAATTGGGTACCCGCGGATAATGGGAACGGATAATTTTTTACCTGTTTATAAACGGGGCGGGCGGATATGATGATATCCATGCCCGCGGGTACCCGTTTAATAATATTTTTTAAATATTCTAATTATCATTGTACTACATAACCCTAAAACTACACTCTCTCATCTTATTTTTTTTCCATAGCCGCACAGCCCACACATTAGTCATCACAATAAGATTTATGTATATTAAGTTGTTTACTTTCGTTTGAAATTATGAGATTGAATTATTATAACTTTATGATATGAGACTTTTACTTGTGAGATTGATGTATTTTAAGTTATTGATTATCTTTCATTTTTATTATTATTTTAACAAAATTAACGTCAAATACAAGTTCAAAATTAACATTGAATTTTTATTTTTAATATTTCAATGACATTAAATATAAACTTAAAATTATTTCTAATATAATTTTTTAATTTCTTAAAAAATTTATAAATATCCATGAATATTCGTGGGTATTCAAGAAATTCATGGATACCAGCTTAATGGATACACATACGGATATGGGGTGGGTATGAGGCCAATTTTCATCCTGTCGGGCGGGGGCGGATTAATTATTACCCGCCTCACAGGACCCCATTGTCATTCCTAATTCCATGAAATCCTCAATATGATAAGTAAGATTTTAGGTTAAATTGAATTTATTATTATTATTATTAATTTAATAAATTAATTATTTTAATATTGATAAATTAGGTAATTAGGTATTATATATATAAATAAAAGTAAAAACTTTTGTAGATTAAAAAAATAAGCGAATTAAGTCTCCATAAATTTGTAATTAGTGTCTAACTCCCAAGGATATATGAAAAAGCAAAAATAATAAGGGAGATGTTGTATCTTCCGAAAATGGAAGTCGAAAATTTATCCGAGTGATTAAAAATTATTATTTTATAATAAATTTATTAAAAAATAATAATTTTTAATCAATTGAATGAATTTTCGACTTCCGTTCAGGAACGCTGAAATAGTAAAGGTTATTGAATGAGAATTTTGACATGGTGCTGGCAGTTACCGTGAATCTTCGTGATTTGAAATTGAAGATTCAAAAAGTACACAATTTAATGTGGGACAGAGAAAAAGTGACCTCATTCCTTTGCTCACACAAAAAGTGAACGTTCCCTCATTCACGTCCATATTCATGCATTGCACCATTTTCCAAGTGTTCGTATGTACAACAAACACTTCCACTTTTCCTCTTCTCCTCAATTCTGCCGGAGGTTCAAGGTTTCAATATTCAATTCTTTTTTTTTATCAAAAATTTGACGTGTCTCATTACGGAGTGTACTGTTTAAACATTTTTTTTTTAAAAATATTATTCATACAAATCATATACTATATTCCAACCTCATGTCATTAGCCTCATTCTACTTCTAATTCATATTACGTAGTATTTATTGTTGAAAAATTAATGTCCGTCAAGATCGTAAGTACATACGAAACAAATAGTTTTTTTTTTAACATAATCTATTTTATATTTAAAGTTATAATTTAAATTTTAGATAATTTAATTAAGAGATACAAATTTTTATCACTTATATCAATCAATATTAATAATGTAATACTCATTTCATAACATAATAGTATGCTTATATTTAAATATATTTATATTGAGTTAAAAGAATATTTTAGATAAAAAATAATTAAAACATAATAGTTATTAAGACTGACTACATAATACTATAGTATAAAATTATATTAAGACATACTTCCTTTAGCTTTGAATATAAGAAAAATAAAATCATCCATGCTAATTAAGAAAAGTTGTTTACATTATTTAATTTTATTAATCCTATCTAAAAAAGTTATATTTTAAAATTATTATTTCTTAAAATTTGGTTAAAAAATAAAAGAGACATTAGAAATATAATAACAATCAAATGAATGAGTATTTTAAAGATGACAACGTTAAAAAAAATAAAAAGTGAGATTAGTTGAAAATTGAGGCCAAATTTTTTTCACTTATAAAAAAAATCCTAGTAGTTGGGTGAGTAGGGGTTGAGATAATTAAAAGCACGAGAACCTATGTCTAATCTTCATTGTAATAATTTTTGTAATATTTTCTATTTTTTACAAAAAAAAAAAAAAAAGTCGAAGAGAATAATAGTAAAGTTAAATCCTAAAAAAAAAAAGTTTTGAATCATATAATTTGTCACTTCTATTGTTGTATAATTTTTTTTATCTTTATATTGAAAAGATAATACAATTACTTTGAGCTTCTTTCTCTTGCGGTCTTGCGTATACTTCATTTTTGTGTTGCAATAGAGACAACTAGTAATACTATAGTGTAGTGTCGCATAGAAGGTCCTATATTGTAGGTATGAATCGTGTAAGATTAATAATCAAATAAATAGAATTGTTGAGTTCCACCTCAGGCAAAGACGAAGAGGACCAAGAGGTGTCCACATCGGCAACTGTGTTGTGTTGTATTGCAATGTCCCACATTTTATAAAGGTGTTGTATCCTTCAAATATGAATTTTTTTTTTATGCATATATGATATGATATAACTCACATACATGTATTATGTATAATGCACGAGACACGTAAACTTAAAAGGTTAACTGACTGCTAATTACATATACACTAATCTAAACTAATAAAAAAATCAACTATCTTACAATCATTTTGAATTTATGGCAGAATAGGTGTACAAATTTGCTATACACCATTTCATTTGTATAATCACAAAAAAAAATCATATACTATGCACGTAGTTAATTATCGAAAACCCAATTAAAATATAAACTTTGGAATTAATTTAGACGAAATTTCGTTATATAAGAATAACGATATGAAAGAACTTAACACCTGATTGTTCACGGTGGACATGACAGGAGACACAGTTGCAAGTGCAGTCTTTGTTCTGATTTTCATTCTGGTTTGTTAGTCGACAAAGATACATTAATTTCGTTTCTTTTCTTTCTGTTAGCGGTTGCATGACTGAGAGATCATGATTAGTTAAAAGATAGAGTTTATTTCATATATGGATTAAAAAGGGAATATATATATATATTAGAAAATAATTCAAATTTTTAAACTCAAATTTTTAAGATATTATTTAGATTTTAAAAGATATTGATTCTTCCATAATAATATTTAGAATTAAAATATATTATATTTATTTTAGATATTTATTTTCTTTTTTAAAATTATGATATAAGGCTAATAAATAAAGAAGAGAGGAGGTCAAATGAAGGAGAGTTTCATCAAAAAATTTGTGAATGATAGTTTTCAAGTTTCGACAAAAAACTTGTGAAGAAGGAGTCTTCAAGTTTTATTCATAAAATTTGTAAACTTAAAAAATTTGAAGGGAAGATTTTTAATATATTTAATACATTTTGAAATAAATAATGAATATCTTTGTAAACGTATATTTAAGGAATTGAACCACATTTAATAAA